TATAAATACCCTTGCATTCATTCATTCAGATATCATCTCATTCACAACACAACACCCCTCAAACACATCCATTCTTCTTCCTAGCCGTGAGTTTTTCTCCCTTACAATCCAAACACCATCCATCCAATTCCATAATTCCCCAATCCATTCAACACACCAACAACATCCCTTAGACCTTATGCCACAATAAAGAGGAAGATAAGAGAGCCTAAACGTTCATACAATTCAAGTTTGAGTTGTTGGAATGTTTAGGCGTTTCTTTGATTTCAATGTCTAATTTCAATTCTCTTTGTTTTGTAAGTATGAGGAACTAAAACCCCCTTAGCTAGGGGGTGATTTGAAATATATGTTTATGCTTGCAATATGATTTGAGTACTTCTAATTACGTTTCATAAGTTGTGAATTCAATTTGTTTAACTATTTGATTGATAACCTATTTGTGTATGTTTATTGAGAGTTGACGCTTAATTTTCATGCACGAATTTGACGCTAGAATATAAGTGAGTTTCACGTAATAGTTATGAACTTATATTCACAAGTAGTGGAGGTTGCTTATAAACAATCGCGTTAAACATATTCTTGGCATAAGTTTCATGCAATCATAGTAACGAATGCCTCGTCAACACTTATAGTTTTCATGTTGCTTAATGATTCTTGCTTGTATCTCTATTATGCAATTCATGTAGGGAACTTGTGAGGAATGCTTTGGGTTGTCGTATGCAATCATCCAATTCATTAACTTAAGGAAAACTTGAAGGTTAATTTAAGCGGACCTAATTAACCCGGGGTGATGAGTTTCATAATTTATTGAAACGCAATTGGAAATCTTTTTATTATGCAAGTGTAACATGTATGGAGATGAACCCCTTAGCTAGCCATCCCATCCATTCAATTCCATCACATTCATCTTTACAATCTGTTTTTAAATACAATCTGTGCATTTTAGTTAATTTCGTCAAAAACTCAATCCCCCTTTACTTTAATGTCCAAATTAGTTAGAAAGTGTTTTAGTTTGTGTTTATAAGTGTTTTGATTCAATTTAGAGGTTTTAGCAAGCCCTCCTAATCCCCGGTCTAGAACGATCCCTACTTGCATCCTTACTACAATTTGACAACAAGAGGGTTAATTTGTGTGCGTATAATTCTCGCATCACCATCCCTCAAACACTTCCATTCCCTCTCCTAGCCGTGGGTTTCTTTCCATTTTCTATCTTTCCTCCATCCAATTCCATAATCCCTGATCCTAAAACACATCCCAACCATCCCATCCACCTTTGTGCCGTAGCAAGGAGAAAGAAGGAAGGACTCTTGGATGCTCAAGCTTCGTTGTTGGTGCATTCTAGGTGTAATTCGTTTTATGATTTCAATGTTTAATTTATTTTCCTTTCATTTTGCTATGAACATGAGTGGCTAAACCCTTATTGGTTAGGGGTGATTTCGAAGCCATAACTATGTGTGCAAGTTGATTTGATAAATTCCAGTTATGAGTTCTTGAATCGTGAATGCAATTAGCTTAACTGTGCGAGTAATAACGTATTTGTGTTTGTTAATTAGGGGTCGACACTTAATTGGCTTGCATGAATATGATGCTAGAATATAAGTTTGTTTCACATAATTGTCACACACTTATATTCACAAGTAGTGAAGGTTGCTAGTCACAATCGCGTTAAGTTCAATTCCTAGCATAAGTGTCATGATGTCATAGTCACAAGTGCTTTGTCAATGCTTATAGTTTTCATTGAACGTAATGATCTTTGATTGTATCTTTATTATGATGTCATGTAAGGAACTTTTGAAGAATGCTGTGGGTTGTCGTATGATGTCATCCAATTCAATAACACAAGGAAAACTTGAGAATTAACTAGTGATGTCACGGTTAATTTGGGGCATTGTCATTCATAATTCTATGAAGGAATAACTGGAAATCGAGTCATTTGCATACTTGTCATGTGTGGAGAAAGAACCCCTAACTAGTCCATCATCCATTCAAAACCCCAAAAACGTTTCAAAATCAGTTTTACTTTGCAATCTGTTTTCTCAACTTTAATTTCGTCCAAATCAAATCCCCCTTTACTTTGAAGTCTCAATTTAGTTAGAAATTGTTTTGGTTCATGTTTTTAACTTTGTTTTGGAGTTCTTAGGTCAGTTTTCAAGAGTTTAGCAATCCCTCCTAATCCCCGGTTTTGAACGATCCCTCACTTATCCATTCTACTACAATTGTCAAACGAGGGTTTAATTTGAGTGTCAAGTAAATCTCGCATCAGGACCCACAAGACTTCTTCTCCAACCAGGAGGCCAATCACAACATGACACATGTCGGTATCAGAGGCCAATCACAGCGCAACACGTGTCGATATTAGAGGCCAATCACAACATGACACGTGTCAATGTCAGAACAAAGCTAGAAACTCTCTTCTATAAAAGGGGATCATTCTCCCACAATAATCCCTAATGTCATTAGTACTAAACTATTCACAAGAACTCACGAAAAGCGAGCTTGAACCTATGTATTTGTGTAAACCCTTCACAACTAATGAGAACTCCTCTACTCCATGGACGTAGCCAATCTGGGTGAGCCATGTACATCTTGTGTTGTTTGCTTCCCTATCTCTATTCATTTACATACTTATCCACACTAATGACCAGAGCAATCTAGCGAAGGTCACAAACTTGACACTTTATGTTGTAACAAAGTCCCCACCGATTTTGTGTATCAACACAATTCATCCTCCCACCTATCAGTGTAAAAATATCGGTCTATATATATAAGTCGAGAAGGAAAGAATGGAATTTGGAAAATGGAATAGAATAGAAACTATTGTTGGATATTTTTCATAACGGAGATTTGATTTCATCAGGGTTTTGCTGGATATGAATGTACTTTCCATTTATTTTTCTGCAAATCATGTGTAGCATAAACTGGTTAACATCAGAGGATGTGTTTCTCTACGGACTGTGGAATAATAATTACTTGGGACATATTAACTTGAATTGGTCCTTTTCTTTCCTTTTTATTTCCCTCTAGCTCTTCATGCCGTTATCGTTTAAAGATTTTCTTAATGGTTGAAATGCTACTGATTCATTTTTAATTTGTGTGCCTTGTGCCTTTCAGATCATTTGCACCTTGTGCAACACCGAACAAGATGTAAGATCTCTTGTAGACAATTCCAATGATGGTAATTATGACAAAAAAAAATCTAAGGACTGAGGTTAATGGATTCTCAATTTCTGATATCTGTTTCAGGTTCAGCAGCACTGTGTCCAGTGTGGGGTTTGCATGGGAAACTATTTTTGCTCCAAATGCAAGTTCTTTGACGATGATGTAAGCCTTGAGTTCTAGTCTGATGAAAAAGAGAGACTCCTTAGTTCATAATGTCATAATTATTGAACCCTACTTTGAAAACACCTGTATCATTGATAAATCCAATTTACATATTTTTTGCCAGGTTTCAAAGAAACAGTATCATTATGACAGATGTGGTATTTGCAGGTTGGACTCTTTTCTACACTTCTCTGTTGTTCGATTTGTCGTTTGAGCATTCAATTTTGTTGTTTGCATTCTTGTTGTTGCATTCTTAAATTTTTATAATTACATGTTACCTATCATTATCTTACTTCTCAAAAAATGTCTTCATCGATAAGACATTTGCACGTGTCTAAGTCTGTTCTAATTGTTGTTACAGAATGTTTTCCACTGTAACAAGTGTGGTAAGATGTTAACCCGATCTTTTTATTTCTATTAAATTCTTTTAATCAGACTTGTACAAATAGCCTGAATTGGAATATCTCTATCTGTGTTAGGATGTTGTTACTCAAAGGCGATGAAGGATTCAAACAATTGTGTGGAAAAAGCGATGCATCATAATTGCCCTGTGTGCTTTGAAGTAAAATTTGGAGAATACTGTGTCTAATGACTAAGGGAAATTCAGAAAGTTAACCTTCCGACAAATTAAGGATTTTTGGCCTCTTTTTCCAACAAATTAGTGCACCAACTCACATCGGTTATTTCTGCAGTTTCTTTTGGATACAAGGTAGGACATTACTGACTTGCGATGTGGACACAATATTCATTTGGAATGTGTAAAAGAGATGGAGCAGCATTACCAGTAATTCATCTGACATAGGTGATTGTTATAAATGGTAAAGAAACTGTAGCCATATTAATTGTATATAACTGTGCAGGTATTCATGCCCAGGTTGCAAAATTATTCCGCGATATGTCCCGTGTATGGGAAAAACTTGATGAGGAGGTAAATCAAGGATTCGATGTCTCCATTTAATAAGTCGTATGACTACCTCTTAGTTACCTGTCTTTTCTAGTTTACTGATCTCTTTCAAATCAATTTTAGGTTGCAGGGACTCCCATGCCTCAGAAGTATCAAAATAAGATGGTAAGTGTACGCAGATGGTCACTTTCTGTTGCTTCTGCAACTATTGGGTAATTAAATTTTGCACACTTTTGGTTAGGTTTGGATCCTCTGCAACTACTGTGGTGAAACATCTCAGGTTAATTTTCACATTGTGGCACACAAGTGCCTCAAGTGCAAATCCTACAATACAAGGAAAACACGAGAAGGGCCAGCGTCGTTCTCGTCTAGGATTACTGCAAGGTGAATAACCTCCAGATCAAAATTTATGATGTATTTCTTCCCAAATTATTTAAAAATGATCAGCTTTTAGTAGTGAGATAGGGAAAATTGGTATTGCCAGTCCCTTTGTGCTTAGGCCAGTAAGTTTCTCGATAGGTTTTGTCATGGAAATTTTGCTTATACTTGAGCCAATTTCTGTCAGCTACTGGGTAGGGGAATCATTTTGCATTTGAAAGTATGGGAATGTATTGTATGCGGCTTCATCAACGGAAAATGATACAAAGTTTCAGAAAACTATCATGAAATAAATTTTCTGAAGTACATATGAATTTATTTAAGAGAATGAATGAATTTTAGCGGGGCAAAACCGAAAACAACCATATACCTTCTGAGATAGACTCGAAACACACAGCTTCTGGAGAACATATAGAATTTGCCATGCATCTTAATCAAAATGTGCAAGCGCTGGTTTATTACAGCTGAAAAGTAAAGTTTATTTTCCTCAAATTTTCGGAGGTTGTTAGTTACGCCCGTCTCACTTGACGAACGATGAACCGTGGAGCTTGACCTCCCGGTAATTGAGAGGTTGTACCGGTCTTGAATTCATCTCCGCATACTGCATTCAAGTTAACCAAGAGGAGTTAATATGTGTTAAAGGATATTTACTGTGGTGTAGCCAGTTATCTAGAACTATTTCACACGGACAGGGTAGTCACCTTGTAAACGGCCTTGTGAAGCAACTCCACTTGTGATGGTGAAACAGTATGTACCTGTGGACAGTTTGTAATCAGCTTGGTTTTCATTTTCGGGTAAGTTTCGAGGGCTGATGAAGAAGCTGTACCTGTTTGTTTATGGTCCAAGTAACTCCTTCGGTGCAAGGTGGGGTTGTGTATGATCCTGTGTATCTGTAAAATTTTGAGGTCTTCTTCTTCATCTTCCTCTTCGCTGCATCCTGATGCGCTTTCTGAGCCTTCTTCATTTTCCTTGGATCGATTACTCCCAACGGTACCGCCTTCGGTTTCTTAATCATAGACGATATCGCCTTTTTCACCTGTAAGTATGAATAACACCATTGATCTCCTATATTTTGCCTTTTCTAATTTAACCGAAACGAGTTTTTACCGTGCAATGGTTGAGGCTTTTACCTCTGAGATAAAGGGATTGGGTTTGCCAATTTTGTAGAGGAATCCAACGACGGCTACACGATTTTTCTTGTCTTTGTGAATCATGTGCAGCTCCGCATCATACCTTATGCCATTCATGGTGTGCTCGGAGGGGGCGTGCCAATGGCATTGGTGGAGAATGTATTCTGTGCCGTTGATCATGACTCCTCCTGCATCGCCCTCCCATACAACCTGCATAGTCAAATTACAACACAAGAAGTAAAAAGAATCATGCATCTGATGGTAGAAAAACAAGAAAAATAAGGATTTTCTTTCACTTTCTTACCGATATAGCATGACCTTCATTCTTCATCAAGGCTTCGGTAGGCTTGTAACTGATTGAAAGCTCATCAAGGTTGAGTTAACTTTGAGGGCAATATCATCCCTCAAATCTATTGGTGATTGTAGTTTTCCATACTTACATGTACTCCATTCTTTCTTGAGGTCTCCCCAGTGTTCCGGTCCTCTATCCCCGTTACCAAATTCAAACTCTATGGGATGTCCTGCACCAAAAAAAGGGAAACACAATAAGACTGTGACGATGCAGATGTTGGTTAGGTCAGTCAGCCACGTACTATGCCTTTTCAGAACCCAAATCAAATCCCCATCGGTTTCTACAAATTAGAGCAGTTTAGAATGTCACTTTTTAAACAAAGAACATTTAGATGATGATGATGAAAAAATGCACGTGCGTGTGCACCCACACATTACATATAATGTTATGTATATGGCATTACCCAGCTCATTGGTAAATTTGGAAGCTGCAATGGGTGATGCATCCCAGAAGAGAAGAAAAAATGTGAAAGCAATGAAGCCAAGGTGGATTTGGTTTGATACAACCATGTTTTGAGAGACAATTGTCACAAATTGTTAGACCCCCAAGAGCTCCTCCCTCCCAGGTTTTATAGAAATATATATGTTGCAATTGCCAGTAGAGGGATCTGAATGGGGAAACAATTCACAATTTATCCACGATCAATGCTGTCTGTGTGTCTGTGATTTACACCCAATATATGGCTCTTGTAAAACCTCTAGCCAGTACGTAATTAGAATCTCTCTCTCTCTCTCTCTCTCTCTCTCTCTCTCTCTCTCTCAAAATATTCGTGTCCACAAATCATCCTTGTTATAATTAGCTCAGATTTGGGGAATCTGAGAGGTACGACTAAGAAGTAACGAAACCCGAGCGAAAAATGTCGTTAACCAACAAAATTAGCTAGTATATGTTTTTAGGTGAGGGATTTGGAATTACTTAAAAAAGATAAACCACAAAACATAGAGGGTTGGAAATGCTCCTCCTCGTGAGCATTACAAAGACATATGCGGAAAGATATTTATAAATATAACTCGTCCTAAATAGCAAATAATTGAATGAGCTAATCAATGAATGAAAATAACTTGATGGATTACTTTTCCTTTTGTTTTGTGTCTTTCTTAAACTTGCTGAAAAAAGGAATTTTATATGATCTTCACACGCACGCAAAATACTCAATAACAACCCAACTAAGGGATGGAGGCCATGACACACAACTAGACCAGGGCAACATAAATATATTATGGTTACAGTTATCGAGGCCATGGCTTAATGGATGTATTTGATGTATTTCCATATAAGAGTAATCGTTCATCGATATTTAAACTTGATGAACAAGCTCTCTCTATGGACACTAGTACCCAGACTGTCAATACATGGGCGAACACGCCTATTACTATGTATATATTGTGGAGATATAAATTAACTACCTCAAATACGAGAACAACATGTGGACTATTAGCTCAATATAATGAATTTACTCTTGACGTCGTAAGCAAACTACACTGCACCTTAAAAGGTTAAATATGTGTTCACCCAGTAGGTCCTGTGCCTTCGGGCTCATATACATATCAAGCATCCTTCGGGCCCATGATATCCCCATTTCTAACCCTGTGCTTTTTCCGGTTCAAGGAGGCAGGGGTTGACTCTTCGGAGTCTCATTTTGGTGTCTTGCGCTCCCGTGCATCTAACTGTTAAAGGCCTACCATCAGGGACTTCCCCATAGTTTGCTGAATGTGCCTTGGATTTATCCAATATAAATCAACCTTTAAGTGGTCTGCTACATGTAATAGGAATGTAATATTGGAGAATAATGTACATTGTGATTTGATCTCTTAAGATATCAATCTTATATCAAGTGTCTTATAATATAATTAGGATTGATGAAGTCCTTAATTACTTGTGATTATGATACTTTTCTTGGTAGCTAAGAAAGTGAGATTAGGTTTCTTTATGGACGGAACCCCTAGCCCTTAGTTTGTATAAATACTAAGGTCCCTACAAACCCTAGATACACACAACATAATACTTCCTATAAAATACCTGTATCTAGCTAGGTGTTTGTACAAGACTTTGGTGTTGTTGTAGCCTTCATCTTCCTTGTTCATCTTCCATGGTTACTATGAGAATCAGGTTCGCCATTCCTTCGTTTGTGTTTTAATTATATAACTATGTAAGGCTAACAATTGGTATCAGAGCCATTGATTATATGATTGAAAACTATTTGCTAGGTTTGACGTATAATATTTTCATGAGTTGCGTTTTTAATCCAAGTTATGATTGCATATACTTGGCAACACCACCGTGTTGTTTCAATCAGTACAATGGACGATTATTAATGGCTTGTATAAATCATGGTATACAACCACCATGTTGTTTCAATCAGTACAATTGATGACTATATATCAATCCTTATATATAAATCATGGTATCATTGTCACTAAGTACTATGGTCTAGTGGTATTCCTCTTCACTTGTAAGTGAGAAGTTTTAGGTTCGATTCTCACCAAAGACGAATTTGAACAACATTATTGTTAGCCCATTGTGAGTCTAAGCCCACCCCCTCCCTGATAATATCGATGCTATCATAAGTATTTTACAGTGGAAGCCATGGGGCATATGTTCTATTTCTAATATAGTTCAAAGTGATTCCTTTTTTACCAACCATATTAAGCCATAGAAAATAGCTTGCGCCAGGGACACACGAAGTCACAAGTACAAAACGACGAGCAAGGCCTATGTTCCTACATTTCACTCGTGTGTATACTGTTTTGGCACTTTCTCGAGCTTAAGTGGGAAGAAGAGAGAGTACTATATGAACACCTAGTGGTTGTTGTTGAGAAAAATTAGAGTACGTATCTCTTAAAGTGTTGGAGAGACAGAATAAGTAAACAAATTACTTGTATCACACACACACAAAATATTAAACCACAACAACTCTCAAAGACACAAGAAGTTATGACACTCTCTCACTTTCTAAAGACAAACTCTAGACCCCTCACACTCCTTACAAGACTACTCATTTACAAGACTACTCTTACTTCTTGCTTCTCACTTCTCGCTTGGTTGCTTGCCTACTTTCCTCTTGGTTGCTTCACTTAAAACTACACACCTATATTTATCATGCACTCTACCAACATAAGCTATGCATAATAGCCTCACATCTTGCTAGCTTCTAGTATATTCTAAGTACAAGCAGACGGATGACGATCCTCTTTGTGAGGATTCTAAGAATCAATTCATCTTAGCCATTTATTGTACATTTTGTGGCCAACTTTCGTTAGGTACTCTTTGTGTTTAATTTTAAATAAAAAATTTACAATGATGTCTAGCCGCATGATGACTGACGAACGGATATGATGGACTAATCCCTAGGATCCTCACAAAAAAAATTTGGATATGATCCTATTCCCAAACAAACATACTTAATCATTGCTAGAAATGTAGAACATCTAGTTCCTTTGTACCGACTGCGTTTAATGGTTTGGTGTGTTGTGCTAGGATAGCACCAAACCAATTGGAAACTAACTCAAACTAACCCATAAGAAATATATCAAATGAAATGCAAGAACAAAAATTAAAAAAAAAAAAGACACCAAGATTTTAACAAGGTTCTTCAACAGTCAGTGTAACTAAGGTACATTATCGGAGCAGTAAAAGCTTACCCAATAATCCATTATCAACCAAATGGGAGTTTACAAAGTGTTGGCAATCTCACAACCCAAAATCTCAATACACCAAATAGCTCTCACACACCAAAGAAACAAATAGAGAAAGAAATATAATGAAGGGTAAACTGTCAATTTAGTCCCTAAATTATCACCTTAGTGGAAATTAAGTTCCTAAACTATTTTTTTAGGAAAATTAGTCCCTGAATTATAAAAATTTGTCAATTACATCCCTAATGTTATATTCGCAACTACTATATTCAATTTTCAGGCAATTTAAGTCACGTTACTTGCATGTGATACACATTAGAGGGTAGATTGGTAGTTTTTCATAAAGAAATAGTGTATGAAATTAACTTTGGAGGAGAAATTGGTTGTTTTTCATAAACAAATAGTGTAAGTTAACTTTTGAGGGTAAATTAGACATTAAATTTGCAACCTATATGAAATGTTAAGGGCTTACAGACGAGAAAATAATGCTATTACACTCTGTCAAGTAACTTAAGTTGACCAAAAAGAGAGAGGATAAAATAGCTTTGAATATAATAGTAGGGATGAAATTAGCAATTTCTAATGAATGGGACTTATTTTACCGAAAAAATAATTTAGGGACCTAATTTTCACTGAGGTGATAGTTTAGAGATTAAATCGGCACTTCACCCTATAATGAATAATTGTCTCTCTATACATCGCTCAAAGCTATTACAACATCAAAGTAACAACAACTACTACTTTGATGGATGATTGCTAACCAAAGAGAGGAGCACTTTCTTCTTCTCTTCAAGGTGGGGCTACGACACCTTTTTTTTCTTTCTAATGTTCACACAAAACAAAGGTAGCAGTTGCTGCTTTATAAAGAACCCTAGCCGCCCATTGCTTTTCACATGGGCCAAATAAAAAAGGCCCCTTAAATGGGCAGCTGGACCTGCAACCAAAGACCCCTTATAATTTGGTCATATTTCAACAATCTTTACCTTGGTCAAATTCCGAAAGCGCCATGACGAGCCAAACTAACATAATTAACAATCGACACAAAATCAATCCTGAAAGTAGCAAGAGAATAATTCATGTCGAGCCAAAATGCTCCAAAGCTCCTACTGCTCAATGCCTTCTTTATATAGGCAAAATATGAGCCAAGTTCAAGCAATGAACAAACTTGGCTACACCAACAACCTTCATCAACACATCAGCGGGGTTGTTGTTAGTTGGAATCTCCTGGAGAATGATCTCCCTTTCACAAACAACTTTGGGAACAAAGTGATAACGCACATTTATGTGCTTGGTCCGTTGCATGATGAACCTGATACTTAGCCAAATAAATGGCACTCTGACTATCACCATGCACTTCCATCTACTTCTGATTAACCCCCAAATCTATTAAGTCATATATCCAAATAACCTCATTTATAGCTTCAACAACTACCATATATTCAGCCTTTGTAGTTGACAAGGCAACAGATGATTGCAAAATGGACCTCCAACAAACTGGCCCTTTAGCCCTAGTAAATACATAGCTTGTAGTAGACTTCCTTCTATCCAAGTCACCTACATAATCGGAATCAACATAACCAACGGCAAATGCCAATACCATAGTCATCCCTCTGAAAGCATAAACCAACATCCCGAGTACCATGGAGATACCTTAATATCCACTTAACTGCATGAGAATGCTCTTTACTAGGATTGTGCATATATCGACTCACCATACCAACTGCATGAGCAATATCCAATCTAGAGCATACCATTGTGTACATCAAACTACCAACCAAATTTGCATATGGTATATTTTTCATTTGCAAGCTTCTCTTTATCAGTTTTAGGACATTGTAGAGAACTCAATTTAAAATGAGGAGCCAAATGGGTACTAACCAGTTTGGTTGAATCATGAACTCCAAATTTCTGAATCAACTTCTCAAGGTATTGTTTTTTATTCAAGCATACTAAACCCTTCTCTCTATCTCTAGTGATCTCCAT